TAGCTTCAGCCAACCCCAGATCATGGGCATACATATGCCCTGCAGAGCATCGGGGGTGTCTCTGGACATGAACCTGGAATCTTTCTGTTTCTGTCAGCCTTTCAAAGAATCACATTTGTCTCTGCACCACTGTCTGTTCTTTATTCTTTTAAAATCTTTTTTTCCCACCCTGTTTCCTTTTGGATAGTTTCTATTGCTGAGAATTCAGTTTCACTAATCTCTTTTTCCTGCAGTATCTAGTTTGCTCGTGCTATAATTTAAATATGTCGCCCCATGGGAATGGCAGGTGATGTGGTGGTTAAGGTGCTGGACTCCTACATGGCTGACTGCGGTTCAGGTCCTGGACCTGGTGGCTTGCTTTCTCACTTTCTCTCTCTCTCTCTCTGCCTCTCTCTGGTCAAATTAAAATAAATAAATAAATAATGAATAGAATAAAATAAAGCAATTCTTAAAAGAAAAAAGTGCCCCCCCCATTCATGTGTTGGCCATTGTAATAGAATTAGGATGAAAACTTGATCTAGTCATGGTGTTGAAAGATAGGGCTTTTGGGATGAGATTAGAATTAAGGTTATTAGGGGGCCCCCATGATTGAATTGAGTACATTTAGAAGGAGACAGAAAGAGACCAGGACAGAGATTCATGGAAAGCTGTTCTGCCCTATTCTCACCCTGTGATATGATCAGGACTCTACAATACACCCATCAGAATGATCCCTGGACCTTGGACTTCCAAAGAAATGAATAAACCTCTGTTTTTGTAAGTCACCAGTTTCATGTATTTTCTGTTAGTAGTCACAAAACAGATTAAAACAGCTAGTAATTCATCCTGTATAATTTTGTTTCTCAGACTTAATATTTTTCATGTCTAATTATTCTATTTTGGTCCTTTTTTAATATCTTCCATTTATTTCCATAATGTACACAGTCTTTGTTTTTTGAAACATATTTTGAAAATACTTATAGTAACTATTTTAATGTTGTCTACTGATTAGTCTTTGTTATTTCTAGGTTATTTTTGAATGACTGATTTTTCTCTTCATTATGGGTAGTATTTACATGCTTTTTAAAATACTAGGTAATTTTTTTATTGAATGATAGTTTCCTACCACTGCTGTAATAAATCACCACAAATTCGGTGGCATGAAACAATTCAGTGGCATAAGCTTATTATTTTACAGTTGCATAAGTCGGAAGTCCAAAGTAGGTCAGCAGGGTTAGGTTTTTTTCTGGAGACATTAGGGTCTAGAGGCTGCCTGCTTTCCTTGGCTGGTAATCCCGCATTACTCCAGCCCCTGCTGTTGTCATTGCATATCCTTTTCTCCTGCTTCTGTTGTCATGTCACAGTGAAATAATACCTGCAGTATACTGATAAGATAACTGTCAACCTCAAAAACTCTGAAGAACGAGGGAAAAATAGACATTTTCAAATAAACAAAAGCTGATACATTTCATCATTAGCAGGCCTTTACTAGGTGAAATTCTAAAGAATTTATACTTTAAATACAAATCAGATGATTGTAGTTTAAGGTCTGAGGATACAAGATGGAATGATTAGCTAAGTTGCCGGGCAATTTGTTGGCAAATATAAACAGACTTTCGTTTATATTTTACAATAATGGAATGTTTTACTCATAACACTTCTGACACCTTCCCCTCCCACCATCAACAAACAGTTATCAGACTCTCCAGATACCAATGGATGTCCAACAATTTAATGCAGTTCTGACACTACCTACTTGGAAGATATGGACAAATATGTTGATATGGTGGGAGATTATAATGCTTAGTAATAGAGAAAACAGTCAAAAAAATCAGGATGAATGTAGAAGATGTGAGCATTATAATTAATGATCTCTAGCTAATGGACTATATAAAATACTTTCCCTAAAAATTGGGTCACATTCATTCTCTTTAAGGACACTTAGAAAATCTCTAAAATTTGATCATGTGTTAAATCATTAAGCTAGCCCAACATGTTTGAAAGCCTTATTTCACATATCACATTCTCTAACATAGGGCTTTTGCGAGGTAAATCATTCAGAAAAGATTAAATAGAAGCGTCCCTTTATTTAGAAGTTTATTTTTAAATTTTCAAAGAACTACTTGTCAAATAAAGCATAATAAAAATTATTAAGAACTGAGTAACAAAAATACCCATCAAAACTCATGGGGCCCATAAATATAAAACAAAACAAACCAACCACCATTTAGTAAAAGGAAAACACATATTACATTTTATCTGTATATAAATGACTTCATAAGATATTTTAGGCATACAGTAATAGAAATATAAGTTTTCCCATTTTTTTACACATGCTCTGTAGTTTTCCTTCTTTCCCTGAAAGGTGTTGGTGAGGATGTAGAGAGTTAGGAATTGTACATGTAATTGTACATTGCTGGTAGGAATGTAAAATGGTGCAATATTGGAAAACAGTTTGGCAATTTCTCAAAACATTGAACGTGGAGCTAACTATGAACTAGCAGCTTGTCTCCTTTCTCAAAACATTGAACGTGGAGCTAACTATATGAACTAGCAGCTTGTATTTTAGGTATATAGCCAAGAGAAATGAAAACATATGTCCACTGACTCGCTGCCTACAGTAGTAATACAACACTCTGAGATGCTGAGGCCATGTGGGAAGGATGTGGGAAGGTCCCGGATCTGTATCCTAAGGTCTCCCTGTGGCTGACTGTGGTTTGAGTCCCAGACTGGGTGGCTTGCTTTCTCACTTTCCCTCTCTTTTTCTCTCTGCCTCTCTCAGGTCAGATTAAAAAAAAATAATAATAATGATGAATAAAATACATAATTTAAAAAATACAAATTTTATGTAAAATATAAATAAAATATACTTTTATTCCATTTCCACGAACTTTCCCAAGTCCCCTGTATGCTTGTGTAATATGCTTGGTCTTAGTGTACTAAAGTATACTTTTTGAGAGTTAGAATCATGTTTTTTTATGGGACTAGCAGTTGGCATAATGGCTATGTTGTTGGACTCCCATGTAGTTGACCGCAGTTCATTTCCAGACCTGGTGGCTTGAACTCAGGCTGGGCACGTGTGCGTGCATGCCCAAGATCCCAAGAGGAGAATGGAGGAGAAGGAATTGCGGCATGATCATCCCCCTGGGGGGTGATTTCTCGCTTTCTGTCTCTCCATCTCTCTCTGGCAAGTACATGCGCCCTATAGCAAAAACCTCTCCAAAAAAAAGAATCATGTTTTTTATATCTTTATATACATACCTACAATGTTCCAATGACAAACATGACCAGTGCTTTTTATTTAGTTGAAGTTTTTGTGTTGGTTTAATTTTATTAATAATGGAACAATGCTTTATTCTTGTGAAGTTTTTGTATCTGATCTTTGCAACCACCCGTGAGGTAGGCTTTTACTTGAATGTGGTATTTCTTTGTTTTCAAATGAGAATATGTAATTTTAACTTAGCTTTTCAACATTTTTCTAAATAACATTTATTTATTTATCTGTTTATTAAATATTGTGATTTTTTGGGGCTGCCAGGTCTGGGACTTGAACCGTGGCCAGCCATATGGGAGTCCAGTGCCTCAACCACTATGCTACCTGCCAATCTGCCTTTTAAGTTTTAAATTTTTCAGAAGACAAGTGTGCTCACCAGAGAGAGAGAGATAGTGAAGTGAGAATGTATCCTCATGAGGAATGTTCATGTCCTTCTCCTCCATTTCTCCCTCCTTTTGAGATTTTGGGCATCCATACACACATGTCTGGTGTGTTTTTCAAGCCATTAGGTCTGGGATTTGAACCTGTAGTTGGTGATGTGGGATCCAGAGCATGTAACTCACATGACTGTAGGCTGGCCATTAGCCTGTTAACTTTGATTTGTTTCTTATCTTTTAAGTTACTCAGTGATAGCATAGTGGGTATATTAAATAAGAGATTAGAGGAGATGATCTCTATTATATTCTTTCAATTCTGTATGGATGAATAGTTGAATGAATATATTTGAGTAGTACAAGAGGGTCAGGGAAATACTTGATTTATGTATTTTGGTTTCCTCTATTTTAAATGAACTCCTTCCATCCCCATCACTCATAGAAACCCTTGACTAATGTGATGGTCTATATTAAACTATATTAATATCAAACTGTTAATAATTGGTTATTAATAGTTAGTAGTGGGAACCAGCAGTTAGTGTAATGGCTATGTCGCTGGACTCCCACGTAGTCGACCGCAGTTCATGTCCCGGACCCGGTGGCTTAAAACTCACGCCAGGCGCATGTGCGTGTGTGCCCAAGATCCCGAGAGGAGAATGGAGGAGACGGGATTGTGGCGTGACCATCTCCCCTGGGGGATGAATTCTTGCTTTCTGTCTCTATGTCTCTCTCTGTCTGTCTGGCGAGCGCACGCGCCCTGTAGCGAAAACCTCTCCAAAAAAAAAAAAAAGTTAGTAGTGCCAGCGACTTTTTAATTTACAGCATAGTCTTATAGGAGTATTTTCAGATCACCCAATAGATTTGTCAAACAAATCCATTTAACCAGATGAATGAGAACTATATGCATTATCTCATACTTTTTTTTGTGTATTTCCTTCTGTTCCTTTTTTTCTAGTTATTAAATTTCAGTTAACATAGTGCTTTGGCATTTTATTTCCAGGTGTTAAATCTTAAAATGCTATCAAGAATTTCGGTTCTTTGTGTACTGTCTTTTAATGTAAGTGTGTTGAAGGTGGGGAGGAATAAGGAGACAAAGGAGTTACAGAGATACAGCATCTTAAAGTAACATTTTTCTCCCCACTTTTTACTGCCAGGAAATAATGAAGAACAAGGGCTTAGTACATTGAATGAATGTGCTACCTTTAACTGTAAATTTTAAATTCTAAAAGCATAGGTCCTATTAACAATTGATCTTGGCTATTTTCCATGTAGGAAAAAATTATAAATCTTTAAGTATTTACATTCCTTGCATTTGCATGTGATATTTTTCTGCTTTGTTCTGCCAGTGAATTAACCCAAGTTCTTCCCCATAGGGTTGAGAATGCTTGTACTAAGCTTGTCCAGGCAGCCCAGATGCTTCAATCAGATCCCTACTCAGTGCCTGCTCGAGATTATCTAATTGATGGGTCAAGAGGCATCCTTTCTGGCACATCAGACCTGCTCCTTACCTTCGACGAGGCTGAGGTAGGCAAACTGAGGCCAATGTAGACCTCTCCCAGACAGAAAGCCTAGTCTTAAAAGATAATGGAAGACTGGGAACCAGCAGTTAGCATAATGGCTATGTCGCTGGACTCCCACGTAGTCGACTGCGGTTCGTGTCCCGGACCCGGTGGCTTAAAAAAACTCACACCGGGCGCGTGTGCGTGCGTGCCCAAGATCCCGAGAGGAGAATGGAGGAGAAGGGATTGCGGCGTGACCATCCCCCCTGGGGGGTGATTTCTCGCTTTCTGTCTCTATGTCTCTCTCTGTCTGTCTGGCGAGCGCACGCGCCCTACAGTGAAAATCTCTCAAAAAAAAAAAAAAAAAGATAATGGAAGACTGATGATTATTTAGGATTATGAAATATTGAATAGCTATACATCTGTATGGCTGTATTTTCTATTTATTGTCCTTCACTTGACCAGATATTCTGAAATATATTTTCAGGTTCGTAAAATTATTAGAGTTTGCAAAGGCATTTTGGAATATCTTACGGTGGCAGAAGTGGTGGAGACTATGGAAGATTTGGTCACTTACACAAAGAATCTTGGGCCAGGTTAGTCATATTCAACTTTTGTAATTAAGATTTTCATGGATTGTCCATGTTACACAAAAAGGAAAACATACATACTTCATCCTCTTTGCAGAAGATAGGTAGCGATGCATTGGGCCTTCAGGTAGGTGTCTATACTCCATTGTTGGAGCTGATACTTGTGCTTCTATTGAGGGGATGTCATTGTCTCTGAAGTTTGAACCTGCTTTCTAAAAATCCTAGTCCTATCTAATGAATTTAACCAGCCATTGCAAGTGTGGCTGAGGAATGTAGGAAATACTTTTCTATTGCTGTAATACTGGAGGCCACCCTGAATCCTGACTCTTCATTCCTCATTACACAACGTTCCTTCACTGTCTGCCAGCTGGCCTGTAGCTTTTTATGACCTCTTAGCCTGTTAATTAGCCTGCCTACTATTATGGATTCATGCCTAGCCCAAGACTGCATAATATAATCAGACCTAGAAGGAGAGAAGAGCCATTGTGATTAAATCTTATTTTGAAGTGATTGTGTAGGCATCCGAGTATTAAGTATTCAAAATACATAGAGGCCAGCTTTTGATGTTATAGACACAAAACATGAACTTGAAGGTTCTTAAAATACTAATGAGACCATTGACAAGATACATTAGATGATCAACTTGATTAACTTAAGAGTTTACTACCTTACAAAATGATTTTGTCTTATGTGAAATGTTGATTTTAAATTAGCAGTATTTTTATGAGGTCTCAATGTTGTTGTTCTATAATATAAACTTAAGGCAGTTAAGAATTTCTCTAAGTCATCATTTAAGATCACCTTTCTTTGATACCTTTACAGCAGTATCTTTAGACTTTTTTATAGCACTAGAAAAGTGTTTTATTTCTCTAAGTGGCATTTAAAATTCCAGCATATAAAAAAACAAAATAAAGACATTCTGGGTGAAGCAGAGCCTGCCCTACCTATTTGCCTCCCTTTGGTCTTGATAGTCTGAGACAATTTCAGAAATCATAGAAGCAATTTAAAAATGAAAGGCTTAGAGAATTTCATAATGCCTTTGAATAATAGCCAAAGTATACAAAAAATGCTTAGGAGGCTGATTCCAAAGCACCAGATGTTTTCAAACACTGTCACCACCATGATTATTTTTGTAATATTTCTATTCATTTCTAACTATAAAAGTAGCACAAGCTTATTTTGGACAAGTTGGAAAGTACAGAAAATATAAAGATGAAAACAAAACACATTATTGTCTTTCTTAAAACTTTTTTCATCTGCTTGATTCAGTACTAGGCTCATGTGAAATTCTTACATAGCATAGCCCAGTAGCCAGATGTACAGCATGAAATCTGTACCAATAGTAGCCTGGCAAAATATTTTCCCCCCACTTGTGAATTTTAGAAATATGTATTTATTCATCTCAGTATTATTAGTATTTTTGAGTGTATTATGTTAAACATGAAAAGTACATCACATTTATGGTTTACTTTTAACAATTTCTTTCATTGTAAAGAATGAAATTGCATAAATGCTTGAATTCAGTGTTGTTTCAATAAGTGGACAATTTGGACTTTCATAATTAAGGCTGAGAAAGCCGTATTCTGCATTATTTCACTACTCATTCTGTACGATTTTTTCTTGTGCTCCAGGAATGACTAAGATGGCCAAGATGATTGATGAGCGACAGCAGGAGCTGACTCACCAGGAGCATCGAGTGATGTTGGTGAACTCAATGAATACAGTGAAAGAGTTGCTTCCAGTTCTTATTTCAGGTATCTCTTGACTCTTTTTATTTTGCAGGGAAAATAAATGTTAGGGGCTGGCTCTGCAGCATGCAGTAATGGACTGCTCCAAAGAAGCTGGATCCCACATGACACTTGTTCAAATCCTTGACCTGGTCAGCGTAAAATATGCAAAGCATGCATTCAAGTGCCCAGGATCTAACAGACTAGAAGACTTCAGGAAGGAGATTGCAGTGGGAACGGAACTGTAGAGGGTGATCCTCTCTCTCAGTTTTCTCTCCCTATCTCTCATATGTGCATGTATACACTTCTCTCCTGAATAAAGAAAAAAAAAATGTTAGCATGTTCTAAACTCTAATGAGGTTCAACTTCCTTTGCTACTTTGTTGCCATGTCATGGTAGTTAAGGCACTAGACTCCCCTATGGCTGACTCCGTTCAAGTTCCAGACCTGGTGGCTTACTTTCTCTCTCTTCAAATAATAAATAAATTAATTAAATTAAATAAATCATTATTTTAAAGCTTAAGTTATGTTCAAGTCTTAGAGGCAGCTTTATTTTATTATTTTAAGAGAGATTTTTGTTATAGGGCACATGTGCTCACCAGAGAAACAGAACGAGACAGAGTGACAGAAAGCAAGAAATCACTCCCTAGAGGGGATGGCCATGCCTCAGTCTCTATTTCTCCATTCTCCTCTCAGGATCTTGGCTGCGCATCTACACATGCCTGGTGTTAGTTTTAAGCCACCGGGTTTGGGACTCAACTGCAATCGATCATGTGGGAGTCCAACGATGTAACCATTATGACATCTGCTGGTCCCAAGGCAGCTTTATTTTAAAAATCTCTTAAGGCATGTCAAGGTGTGACCCTCAGCTACCTGCTTTGATGTTTCAGATAGCAGCTAAAAAAGGGAGATCTGAGTGTGGGAGTACAGAAGCCCTTACACGAACTAGGAAATAAATATTTATAAGTAGACTCTTATAAGTCCCATGGGAAATATGTTTTGAAGTCAGCTGTTCTACTTATCAGAAGGTTGTTGGGAAGAAAACTTGTTTCTAGTTTCAGTAACTCAATAAAATGGTAATTAATCTTTGTTATAAAATATAAATTATTTTATGGGGGTATAATCTCCTTTTCCATTGTTCCATATTATCATTCTTATTTTTCTTTTTTACTTTTGGGGGTTAGAAAGTCCCTGCTACATGTTAAGAGAAATCCTGGAAGATAAATATAGTACTTTGAGTTCTTCTGCTGGGATTGGGGACCACAGGATACTCCACTCATAGTTTTATTCACAGGCTATTCCATTCACAGTTTTATCCATTCACAGTCCCATTAGGTTTATTTTTAATTTTTATTTATTTATTTTTGGAGAAATTTTTGTTATATAGGGTGCACATGCTCACCGGAGAGACAGAGGAAGACAGAGAGACAAAAAGCGAGAAATCAACCCCAGGGGAGATGGTCACGCTACAATCCCTTCCTCTCCATTCTCCTCCTGGGATCTTGGGTATGCACACTCATGTGCCCAGCGTGAGTTTAAGCCACCGGGTCCAGGACTCAAACCGCAGTAGGAGTATGATGACATAACTGCTACACCATCTGCTGGTCCCTCATTATGACCCATTAGGTTTATAGTGAATGGAGCCAGTGTTTGAGCTGACCTTATACATGTACTGGGGGTCAGGATAAATGATGTAAAAGGATATTAGATATATTTGTGAATGTAAATAAATCATCAGTATATGCATGTTAAATTAGTTTCCTAATCATGTTGTGGTAATATTTTACACCTTGAATTTTCTTACAGTGGTTGTTGATACTAGAACTTTATTTGTAGACTTGCGATGTTTATATATTCTTTTTTAAGATTTTGCCCAAGGGCTACCAGGTGGTGTGGAAGTTAAGGCACTGGATTCATTATGACTGGTTGTGTGGTTTGAGTCCTGGACCTGGTGGTCTTAATATCATTCTAAGCGTACATGTATGTGTACCCAAAATCCCGAGAAAAGACTGGAGGAGAAGCCTCATGGTGTGGCCAATCCCTCTGTAGGGTGATTTTTCACATTCCTTCTCTTTCTCTAGAGATTACACATGCATTATAGCAACAACAACAACAAAATAACTCCTGCCCAAAATATGTTCAAAATGTGAAACATCTTGAGTGAATTCTGTTATACAGCATGATTATAGTCTAAGCTCAGTTTCTGATCTTTTGCTTATTTTTGCAGCTATGAAGATTTTTGTAACAACTAAGAACTCAAAAAACCAAGGAATAGAAGAAGCTTTGAAAAATCGCAATTTTACTGTAGAAAAGATGAGTGCTGAAATTAATGAGATCATTCGTGTATTACAACTCACTTCTTGGGATGAAGATGCCTGGGCTAGCAAGGTAAGTATTATTGGAGGAGAAATAAACAGAATCCCATACTCTCCCTTCCTGGGGTTTGGATTGCCACATGTCACACATTTTCTCTTGTAATTGTGTGTAGCATGAGAATACTTGTATTATGAAAATAATTTATTTACTTTTATTTCATGGGTTATTTACTGCCTTTGTCTTTACAAATATTCTCTGTTTCAAGGTAGTACAAATATGAGGGGTCTTCAAGAAGTACATGTGAAATGTATATTGTGAAAAGACCACACGACGATTTTTTTTTACACCAGAATAAACTCTAATTTTAATTCTGTTTTTTCCCATGATTTTTTGAAATCTCTTAAAAAATAGGTATATGGAGTAATATTGGTTAAAGGCTGAGATGTGTGTGTTTTCCTTCAGACTAGAGTCTCATGGGTTAGGGCAGTGGAGGAATCGGGGTGTGTATATTCTCCTGGGTGGGAGTCCTCCCTTTTATGGGGTGTAAATCTGCTTGTAATTACATGAATGTGTCTGTAATTCTGACCTTCATGGAAAGCTTTTCTGTAATAAACCTTTGATTCAGAGAAATCTACAGAGGAAACTTGGTATTTCTAGATGTGTCTCTTGATCATTTAATTTCTTTAAGGAAATTTCAATTAAAATACTATTCTTCAGATTTGCTAGGTGGGCTAATGGGTTCCTTCATTCCTTTGGAATCTCTTCCTGAACTCCAAAGGAATTGGTGGATTCCTTTGAGAGCCTATTTGTGGTGGTTTTGTGTTGCTGCTGGTCTGAACTGCTTCTCCCTGTGTAGTGACTGTGAACAAAGCTTCCAGGTCTGGGGGAACAGACACATTTGGTTTTCTACTTTTTTTGTTGGAACCCAAGATGCAGGCAGTGGGGGACACAAGGTATCTAGGATCTGGCTTCACTGTTATGTCCCAAATGTTGCCTTCAGGGCCACCTAGCAAGCTGGTAGCAGACTAAAAAGGAGATTGTGTAAGATGACGTCCGTTAGTGCTCAATAGACTATGTCCATCAGTACATGTATTAGGTCTGCTCAAAGCTGTGACCTAAATCACTAGCCCTTTCATTTGTTGCCGAAAAAGCTAATTTAACTACACAGAATAAATTAGTCTCCTTATCTTAACTATGGATTTATTTACAGAGGCATTTTCTCATTGATATGCTGTTTTTGAATAGGTTTTAAGATTGTATTTTAAATCTACGTGGTAAAATAATTTTAAATCTTTGATATTTATTTAATTTTGCTTTTACATACTTGATAACTTTCACTTCCCTGTTATGACTTCTTTATGCATCTTTTTTTGTTCTCTTGTTTGTTTTATTCTTTTTCTCACATTTAGAAGGTAAGCTTTCTCTTACCCTTTAGTGTTTTTTTTTTTTTGCTTAATTAGAGAAAAAGCATGTCTGTGAGGTTTTCTTGTGCTGTGTGCCATGCCTTATTCTGTGTGCTGGTATGTAACACTGTGCTCGAATATGCCTCAGAATGTGATTTAATGTGGGACTCTGGGCTGTGCTGAGCAGACTGTTGGACTCTGGCCCATATGGAACTATTTCTTTGGGGAAGACAGAAAGAAAAGCCACATCTAGCTTTTTAATGTTTGGTAGGTACTTTGATTTCTTTGAGCAGGTTTCTGAGAACTTTTTTGACTTGGTCATTCTCACTGATTTCATTTGAGGAACAGCTTTCCCCAGGTAGCTGGTGACCCCCTGAGTGAACCCATAGACCCTACTGTTAAGGAAGAAGACTGACAGACATCTCTATAATTGCCTCTCCTGCAGTCTAACAAGCTGACTCTGAAATTTGGCTTTTGGAGATGCTTTATTTATTTATTTATTTAAGGTTTACTTACTTACTTCTTCCATGAGCAAGAGAAAAAGAAACAGAAAAAGGGGCAGGGAGAGAAACCTCCAAAGGGGTCTTAATGCCAAGATACACCCCCAGGCTTCACATAGCCCCAGATCATAGGCAAGTGTATGTCCATTGTACTCAGGGAGGTGTTTGTTCTTGAACCAGGAACCTTCCCATGGGGGTATTGTCTTGTAGAGCATTGTGTTTTACTGCTGAGCCATCATCTGGACCCTGAGATGCATTATTTAGATTTTAAACCATAATGAAAATGAATAGGTTAGAGAGTTTAAATGAAGCACCTCTCCTTCATATTAATCCCAGACATCAAAATCAGAAGGAAAAAGAAATAAAATGTATCTAAAATTTTTCTTAACTGCAGTCCATACCTCACTGCTTGTTTTGCTGTCTAAGCCGTGAATCAGTCATAGTTCTCTCTGACCTCATGTTTTCTTAACCTCTTTCCTCTGCTTCTAGTAAATGAGAAAGTAATAAAAGCAATAAGGGTTTAAGCTTAGTATATTTTTGAAGAAAAGTTATCCACGATTTAGTAAGTAATCTTTACTGAGCTTTATTTTGTGAAAGTGCCATCAAGAATTGCTGCTTATTTTTTAGATTTTTGCTGTAGAGCATTTGCATTTGCCAGAAAGAGACAGCTAGACTGGGAAAGTGAGAAATTACCGCCCAGGGGGATGGCCATCCTGCAATCCCTTCTCCTTCATTCTCTTCTTGGAATTTTTGGCACACATGCACATGTACCCAGTGTATTTTTCAAGTCACTGGACTTAGAACGCAAATCTCAGAGTTGGCCATGTGGGACCCAGTGCCTTAACCACCATTCTGCCTGCTGGCCCAGTTGCTTCTTCTTTTAAGAAAAGATGGTCAGTTGAATTTTTCTGGACTGGTATTATGCACTCATGGGAAATACAAGGGAAATAGACCTGATCCTCACCAAGTGCAGTCTCATAGCTCACAGCTGAAGTTGATCTGGCAGGAAATCAGTTTGTTAGGATGCTGCACAACTGACTTTATCAGGAATGAAAGTACATAAATTAGTTCAGCCACAAGAAGCTAAGTATATGATATCATCAAAACTAACCAAAAAATGTTTATTTTTCTAACCTAATTTTGCTTTTGTTACCTAGTTCAAAATCAGAATGCTATGAAAGATAGACATGACAAGTCTCACTTCCAGCTCTGTCCCATCCACTCTACTCACCACTTAAGAATAGTTGTGCTTATTAGAAAACTACTTAGGAAACAAAAATTATCTTGGAAGTGGAAATAGGTAATTATTTTTCAGATAATTAGCATTATACATCTTCATTGCTCACGTGTAAGCAGTGAATTAATCAGACGTTTTTGTCTGACTGACCACCACGTTTCCATTCTGTTTAATGCATAGTGTTTCACCTCCTCTTGCCCCTACCAATAAATAATTAACCTTGTCTTACCATACTTGTTTCATGCTTCCCCAATGATGCAGTATTCTTCTGGAAAGTGATGATTCCTCTAGAAAAGTGGGGAAGAAAGTAAGTGAAAAAATTCTTGGTAAAAGTGCGTCTTGCCGAATAAGTTAAAATTTTCAGGAAGCAATGTAGTAACCGAGTGTTTTACCTTTTATAACTACAATCAAATTGCAGATTTACAAATTTAAAATTGACTTTAAACACTTTCTTTATTTTGAAAGAAAAATTATCCCTTCCATAAATCAAAAAGTGTTTTATAGTGATAATTAAAAAGCAAGTTAGCATTTTTCCTGGGAATACATTATGAATCAAAAAAAAAAATCTGAATTGAACACAGTTCTAGTTCCGCTCTTTTTTTTTTTTTTTTTTTTTTTGGAGGGGTTTTTTTGCTATGGGCGTTTGGACAGACAGAGAGAGACCGAGAGACAGAAAGCAAGAAATCACCCCCCAGGGGATATGGCCACACCGCAATCCCTTCTCCTCCATTCTCCTCTCGGAATCTTGGGAATGCACGCACACATGCCCGGTGTGAGTTTAAGCCGCCAGGTCCGGGATTCGAACCGTGGTCGACAACGTGGGAGTCCAGCGACATAGCTGTTATGCTAACTGCTGGTCCCCTAGTTCCACTCTTTATACATGTAGTACTTTATCTTTTTAAAATTTGTATCTTGGTTGAGACTTAAGAGGAAGTGAGATAAAATGGAAATACATGTTCCTGCTAAGACTTTTTCAGCTCTACATAGACTATCCTGCAGCTCTGCACCTTGAGTCATTAAATACTGTTACTCAGTTCCTGTGGTGTATCTGCTCCTGCTGTGGTCCTAGGCTGGTGGTGGGTAAATGTAGTGAGTGATTCAGATGTCTAGTGCAGAAGATTACTATACTTTACCAAAGAAGGAATTATTGGTTAATATATGCAGACATGTAATACTAGCCCTTACTGCAAACCATTGGGATTTAAGGGTTGATTTTTATTGGACTTTTAAAAAATAAGTTTTATGTGAGCTTTTTATGAGTGTTTTAGTGTTTTGTTTTAGCACCTAAGAAAATGAAAGATTTGTCTCTAGGAGTTTGAGATGTAACTATTATTTCAGACATTTATGATATTTTATCACCCTCATCCCCCCCCCATGTAAGAGAAAATCTCAAAACTTTAAAGGAATTTATGTTTTCCTTCTGATCTTAAGTTATCTTCTTCTTCTTCTTTTTTTTTTTTTTTTAATGTAATTGCCAGGGGTGTATATACTTAGCAGTCAAAGGAGGAGCGGGGGTAGGGGAGAGAGAGAGAGAAAGAGAGAGAAAGAGAGAGAGAGAGAGAGAGAATGTGCATCCCACCATGGGCGTGGTCATGCCAAAGTCCTTTTTCCTTCATTCCTCCTTCCCATATGGATTTTGAGCATGCATATACATGTGCTGGCATATTTTTTTCAAGCTGCTGGGGCCAAGATTTGAACCATGGCTGGCCATGTGGTATCTTGCTCCCTTAACTGCTCAGCTAAGGGGCCAGCCTGTTCTACATTATCTTTAGTTGTTACATTTGATTCCAACATAGATGGTATAGATATTTAGAGCTAGGATGGTTTTCTTTGAGATGAGAAACTGAGGACCAGACATCCCGCTTTCTGTCTCTCTGTCTTTCTGGCAAGCGCATGCGCCCTATAGCAAAAACCTCTCAAAAAACGCCCTAA